GAGAGAGAGAGAGAGAGAGGAGGAGGAGGAGGAGAGGGAGAAAGAGAGTGAGAGAGAGAGAGAGAAAGAGATCGCGGGACGATTTCGCCGCGAGGAATTTTCAAACGAGGCATTTGTGTTCCCGTTATGGACTCTCCTCTGATTTCGTCGACACTGAATCACGGAAGTAATCTTGCGAGGAAATCGATAGTGAAACGAAGCGTTCGAAGAATAAATCCAAATTTGCCGAAATCATAAATGTTAGTCGATTGTGCTGACGGAACGCCGTTTGCGAATAATATCGACTTGAAAGATATATATCTCTTGAAAAATATACCTGAAAAAATATATTACGTACAACGCGAAACAATTCTGATCGAGTCTCCTGCGACACGATCCGCCAACGGCGTTCACATTTTTCCCCGCGCGGATCCGATCGCGCGCAATTTTTTAACGCAAAAACCGAAACTGACCAACGAGCGCGATAGCAATCTGATTGGAAGAGACGGGCGGAATTGTCTATTGATTTAAACGACAGCTCATGCTGGTTCACGGTGACTTCGCAATGATTCCGCGACGACTACCGCGCAGATAAAAGAAACGCGCGGTAATATATTGCGCGCATTGAAATTGCGGCCTGCCTCTAGGGATTTTACGCCCGGGAATTCGCGATACACGTCCGCGGAGACGATCGAGGAATTTGAAAATTAAAATATAAACTTCGCCGCTATTAATATTTCGGAGACGAAACGCAGCTGTTATCTTTTCTTAGTTCGCGCTGCGTCGTGTTTGCGCGCTCGGCAGAGGCGCGCGGGCGACTTTTGCGCGAGGAGGTGCCCGTTGCGCCAGCACACTTTCATACGGCGCGGAATGACACTCGTGGCGTCACACGTGTATTTTATGTATGGCATATTTTTTTCTTCATTACCAAAAATCTCCGCACCTTTTGCGGCTTTGCGCGGAATGAAACCGGTCCGGTGGTTTCACGGTCGTGAGGTTCCAGGCGGCGGGGCAGTGATCGACTCGATTGAACTTTCGTTCTCCGAAACGCGAGTGCTGATCGATGCACGCCGAAATTCTTGTAGCTGCGGGTTATTTTTAGTTCAATCGGGGACAGGTAGTGGGGAATACGAGGATCCGTAAGTGTCGTAAACGTAAAAGGGCCGCGTGCGCCGGGTTCCAACGTCCACGGATTGCGTGGGCGCACCACGTTACATGCGTCGAGCGCGTACGTACGTGTGCGACTGCACGCGTGCATGCTTGCGTGCGTGCGTGCGTGCGTGCGTGCGTGCATGCGTGCGTGCTTGCGTGCGTGCGTGCGTGCGTGCGTGCCCGCCTGCGTGCGTGCGTGCATACGGTGAATGACCGGAGGGCAAGGACGCCACAAGGACACATCCTTACATACGTCTGCAAGTACATCAGCGCGCGCGGGTCACATCTACGCGGCTACGTATGACAGTACTATTTTTTTTTCCGCGCTGAAATATCCTTGGCCTATATCGTCTATTCGCCTACACCGATCGCGTGAAATGATGATTCAAGCGCTCGACGATGAAGGGAACGGCGAGGAAACGCAGATGGAAATGTCATCGCGACGAATACTTCATTCTTATCCTTGTTGACGATTGAAAATATTCTCGACGCGTTCCGGTTACAGCGTTTCTCTTTCTCTCTCTCTCTCTTTCCCCCCCCTTCCCTCTCTCACTCTCTCTCTCTCTCTCCCTCTCTCTCGCTTTCTCGCGAATGCACTTGGGAAATTCAACAGTCGATCGTAATGCCGGGTCATCTTATGCGCGCATACACACGACAATCCTATCGTCGCTGTCGACATTCGCGCGAGTCTGGTCCAAGTGCAACCACCTCGCGAAATACGTATGGTCGCATTGCTTAAAATAACCCACGCATACGCGCGAAACTTGCCCACCTACCGAAAGAACGGCTGGTCTCTGGCTGCGCCAGAGCGGACAGGTTAAGAACTGCCTCCTGCAGCTTCGCCATTTAAATACAATGACGACGATCCCAAAGCGTAATGCGCCCACGCCCTGCGCGAGCTGTGCACGACGGCGGCTTACGCGTCGTCAACATTCCACGGCGCGAAGCTGCGACCGCGACAATGCGGAAAGTATCGCGCGCGCGTTACATATCGGAGGAATTATCGATAAAGCCGGACATCCTCTTTCTTTTCCGCGCAATGAAAAATATGATTGTTGTGCCTGCATGTGTAACGCGAAGGCTGTGATCGGTCTCATCGATGTCGTTATCAGAAGTTCGTTAGAGTACGTTTGAGAAAGGAAAGATAGTCCCTTTTGCCGATCCTGCTTTTATCCTGATACTTTTGCTTTTCTCTTCGTGCACACATGTTACAATGTAGCAAGGCGAGTAACTCTACAAGAGGAAATTGGTAAATTTTCTTAAGTTAACTAAAAGCTGTCCGAAATAATCAGGATGCCAGGTGGTTGCGATGATCGCGTGATACTCGTCGAAGGATCCACGTTGGATTCTTGGAAAAAAATCTGTCAATCTGACTGGTAATCGGCGATCGTGTCGTGTTCAAAGTTGAGGGTTTATGGCAGCTTCTCGAGAGAAATGGACAGAAAACGATGCTCCTCTTTGTCTCTTGCTCCATCTTTTTACCTTCTTCCCTTTTTTTATAATTTTTTCTTCTTTTTCGCGGCCCAGCAGATCGCGTCTCGGTCGATGAACTTCCTGGAACGATCTTGCGATTGCCTTCTGATGTTTTTTACTTTTACGCCTCTTCCTTTTCTCTTCTCTCCTTGCAATATAAGACACTCGTGAGAAGTACCAAGACAAAAGTCATACCTTGCACTTATCCGTTTCTTACCGCAATTATGAATCCCGTCGGGCAATCGCTAGCTTAAGAATAATCTTCTTCGAGTCGCGAGAATAAAAAAATCGCTCGTTGAACCTCTATTTTTAACTTAGGGAGGAACATGTGCCAAGTACAAAAGGGAAATTCGCAAGTTGATTATAATCCTTGCGAAAATTATGACTCGAAGAATGTATGTTGCATGCGACAGAAATCGATTTAACAGGAATAATATTTTCGAACTTAATAATAATTGTTTAAAGAGATAATTGGATGGCTTTAGGTGAAATATTTTCGAAAGTTATTTTATTACCATAACTGAACTGCTCTTATTATCGGTGTAATTTCGTAAGATGCGAGGAAAAACTGTTTGCGGCGAGTGGAAGTATTACATTTCATTGGAAATATGTACGCCCAATCTCATTCAACTTGTAATGACTTCCTTCTCGAGATTCTCGGGATCGCCATTATTTTTAGTGTCTTTCCATTGTGCTATTCGTTCACGTCTGTTTACGCCTTCGTGCCGCGCGACTGGCCAAAGGCAAAGGCAAAGACGAACCACAGAGACGCACATCCTTTTCTTCTTCAACTAACGCACCTCTTTCTTTTTGCGAGCAAATCTTAGACTCGCGGAATCCTATCTTCTACTTCCTTTCTACGGAAGGGCTGAAGTAAAGGATCTGGTGGGTGGAGTGGAATGACGGTGAAGCGGGAAGGTGAAAGGAAGCGCGGAATGAAGGAAAAAAAAGAACGGCAAATTCTGCTGAATCAGGCAGGCTCAAAATCTACTCGTGAATTTTATTATTCCCATGAACTTCCCGTTTAAGGACACCGTGTCTTGGCTATTTTATGGTACCTGTCGTGAGGTTTCGGGACCGTGCAAAACAGACAACAATAAGGCCCATTCCGATGCAAAGTAGCGGTCGGTTGTCTACTCGTTCGCCAATGAAACAAATTTTTTTTCTCCTTCTTTCTTATCCGCTTCTTTTTTTATTTGCCGATGTCACTGTATCCTACGATTTTATATGCGCTCACTTTATTCAACATCTTCTTTGATAAATTATGTGTACACAGTCGGTTAACGACTTCCTTTTCTTGTTTTATGCCTCTATATAGTAAAAATTTTGCGGTTATAGAAATATTTATCCCATATAAAGTGGTCGAATACCTCACGATAAATCTTTCACTCGATTTAAGCATTTTGTTTCTTAGAATAGATTTTTTTCGGAAGTTATTACAAGCGAATGGTGAAACACTGCAAGATTTCGCAAGGAGAAGGAAAAAAAATAGAGACTCACGTTTGCAATGGCCCTTATAAGCGACGGGAATGGCGCGACCCGCGCGGCAGGCGGCCAGTCGCAGGTGGCAGGCACTTTTGTAGGTGTTTCCGTCGGCTCCGCAGACGGGGCGCGCGCCGGCGACCTGGTGCGGAGGCGCCTGGGGGCACCTGCGGGCGCACCTCACACAGTGAGGGCTCAGGTTCTGGTCCAGCAAACAGGTCCGACCTTGGCCGCACCGGACCCGTGCGCACGAACCTGCTCGACACTTTGCACGTTATTACGCACAGTCGTAAACCGCCCCCGTGATAGACGCATTGCCTCTCTTTATTTTTATTCTCAGTCACCAGCCGTTTCGACCGCAATCGCGCGCTCTCCCGATCACTTATTCCCTTAGCTACGCGGCACGAGTGATTCTAGAGCGTCCGATTTCGAATATTACGTTCCGCATCGACGCAGCGTCGGCTATTGGCATCTTTATAAAGCGCATAAAAGATTTTAGCTGGCATGTTAAGAAGAATATATATAGTATATAATTAGCATTATATTATTAGAATTATTTATTAAATCTATAAATGTAAGAATATAAAACACGCACTGGAATGCATATATTTACGGAGATATGCGTTGCGCGCAACACGATCTTTGCATTTGATTGTAGTACAGATTCACACAGTCGGCGAGTCGTGGGAACTAACACGCGTTTCATCACGGTTCATTGACGTTTCGGTATTACAGGATCAAAATATTTTCTCTCGTACGCGCAGTCATTAAGCCGCGTTACGAGGATCGATTACGAGACAATTACCGTGTAGCAACGAGTGGCCGTATTGGGAGGCCGATCCCACCGGATGTTTCTTTCAGGTCGTTTTCGTTGCCGTTTCTTTATCCGATCGTTTGCGTTTGCGTCCTAGTTAGCGTAATCACCAGTCCTTCGAATCAACGATAAGCAAAACGTGTCAAACTGTGCAATGGAGCGATTGCGCGAATTTTAGAGAAAGATGCAAAGCGAACTCTTACGGCTAAATATGATAAGAGATTCAACTTAATCATACATACTCACTTTGGCAGTGGCCGTTGTAGGCAACCGCGAGTTCGTGGCTGCCCTTCTTGCAAGCTCGTTTTTTGAGTCTGCACAGGCTCTTGTAACTCTTGCCGTCCGTCCCGCAGACCGGTCCACCGCCTCGCGGTGCTTTGCACTCCGGACTGCACACGCACCTCGGCCTTCCTCTACGCACCACGCACTTCTTTCCTTCTTCGCACCTCACTTCCGCGCAACTCTCTGCCGAATAGAAGGCGAATCATGCAATGCATTCGTGCCAATGTTCGGCAAAATATTTCTCAATCATTTCTCCTCGATTAATTCAAAATTTTAATACGTAAATGCGAAAATAGAAGCTACATCATTTTACTTCAACTTTTCTGTAACATAAACTGATCGTACGCGTCGAAATAACAAAAAACTTTTTATCTCTTTTTTTTTTAGTAAGTAAAATTATTACACATGCAAATTAAGTCTTAATTAATATTCAATTATTGTGAGGAATAGTGTAAGTCTATTTATGTACCTCGACAAGGACGACACTGCACTCCTCCACCAAGAACCCTCCAAAAAAAGAGACTTCCGCTATCCAGATCTTCGTCCGAATAGGCAGTCGCGGCTGCTGCGTTAGATGCGCAACAGTCTTCTCTTGTGACGCCTTGCGATAGAAGTTCCTTACACCGACCGTTACTAATGGACGACCAGCATATACCGCCTAATGCAGACCAAGAAAATACACATGAAATTTATATTAATACTATTTTTGAAGCTTACTAGACGAGAAACTACGTGGAACATTATTGCAAGAAACATTTCAATTTATTTTAATTACGGATATGTTATAAAAGTCACAGATGTGCAAACGCCCGTCTGCATACTCATTAGAGTTAATGAATTCTTTTAAATTCCTTTATTCCTTTTTACTCGAAGAGAATATTCAAAGTCGGTCTTTTTCTCTAGCTTTTGACTACGGTCTCTCCTGACGTTTTTAATTATCCGAATCGCGCGCTCCGCACACGTGTGGATACACGCCGTGGAATGAGCGAGCAGATTGTCGACGTATGTAGTTGTATCTCTAGTGCCAGCTAGCAACATTAATGGGACACGACAAAAAGAAACGCCTTGTAGGGCTCTCTAATTAACGTTAGGTATGAAAAAGCAAACATCGGACACGTGATTAGCGTTACGAAAAAGTAGAACAAGGTCCTTTGCTATCGCTACATATATGGTGCAAAATAGATACGTTGTAGAGAACGTTGTTTACCCGTAAAGAAAACACGCAGCCATCATATAAAACGCATAGTGTTTATTACTTATTATTAAACGCAGTTACAACTCTCTTAAAAAAAAAAAAAACACACGACGACTTGTTAATTTTACCGTAGAAATAATTACGATAAGAGAAAATCCTTAGAAAAAGCTCGCTTCTGCGGATAACACAAAGTATTTCCGCATATCTTTACTGTTGCACTTGATTCACTAGTGATGTATTAACTGTTTTAAAAGTAGCACGATAAACTGCACGTACGTGTTTTCCGTTCATAAGCGGTTCTCGCGAACTTGGCATGAAAGTACTTTACGATGTATGATTAGCACACGTGGGCCATATACAATTGCGGATTACAAGCCCGGAATAGTCGACATTGTTTACTAAACCCTCCATTAGCATTAACGACGAGCAAAAATTCCTTGAAGACTAGCTCGTAGTTGTAACAAAGTCGATGATGGATTCGATGATTATCTTTGCGCCGCATGGCAAATCTCCTCTTCATTACAAAGCAAACAACGTGAGATGCAAATATAATATATTACCGCGGCGGAAAAAAATACTTTGATCGTTTGCATTCGTCGCGCTACACGCGTTACTGCGCAATATTTTGTAATATACCTCGGTTAATTGGTCGATCAATTCTTTTATATTGATATTTTATCTTTTCTAACGCCTTCGAAAAATTGATGGTGTTCAACTGTTTTTTTTTTTTTACAGAGACATAAAAATTTATTTAAGGATTTTACAACCCACTTGATGTGGAAACACGAGAAATCTTTCTACTTCGTATATCTGTGTTAATATGTTTTTGATTGAATACGCTGTAAAATACGTGAAGAAAATAATAATCTCACAAGTTGGATGTAGAATGAAAATTTAGTGCAGCGGAGGTCGGATAATCTATAAATTCATCTCGCGCGCAGTATTTTCAGAATTGTTGGGCGTACAACATAGAGTTTGGATATTGTTAACGAAAATAGGAATCTACGAACTCACAATTTAAGTAGAAAGCGTTGACTGAAATCGTTCACAATATCTACGCTCAGAGCGGTTCCGAACAAAACTGACAAACGCTTCATCTCGCGATATTAATAGCTATATTTGCGTCTCACGGGAGATGATCTCGCTTCGTTTGTTTACGTCCTAGTTCTCGGGACTCAAGTTTAGGTGAATCGCGTCAGCTGTAATACTTGTAACGAGGATGCGGCAATGGAGCAGCACAACAGAGAGACGCTAACGCAGATGCTCGCTAAAATAGCCGCGAAACCCTTCCAACGTTTTCTTTTGACTCACACCCGTTACGGGCGAGAGCAAAAATAGTTTCACTATCGGTTGATACGGATTCTAGCTCGGTGCTCGTAGGATGAAGTTATTTAGAAGCTTTGCACGACGAAGAGATCTATCTGGTTTGTGCAAAAAGCAAGCAGTTCCTTTTATCAATTATTTTACACATTCACGCGTAATTATAATCGGAATGAGAAGAGATAATTGCACGTCTGCGTGACAAATGCATATAAATTTGCGTATTGTAATAATATATTTCAAAATCCTAATGGCAACCTATCCGATTGAGTGAAAAAGAACATTTTTTCATCATTTATACATATTGCTATCTCCGTCAGTATCGTTCATCGATGAAATCAGAATCGATCCTAGCGTTTCCGCTACTCTTGATGCCGATTTGTCTGATAGCTGGGTCACGGAGCGACCATGTGCTTCATAAACGTGTCTCGTGTTTTGCGCGTTGAAAAAAAATGTCCTCCCCCCTCTCTCGCGGTGCTCTGGAAATTCATCGATCTAGAATCACAGCTCTCGCCGACTCGCAATTATTAATTCGATTAATTCGAAGCGTGTCACGCGCCGTCGCTCGGAGGAGACAGCGGAACTACACCACCTTGTTACGTAGCGAAAAGGAAAGTCTGGCAAACTCGAAGCATTAATTCCCAGTCGCGGCGCGGCGAGGCGAGGCGCGGCGAGGGTGAGGCGAGGGCGAGATGTGGCGAGACGTGGCGAAGAGAGGAGAGGAGAGGAGAGGAGAGGCGCGACGTGCGAGAGGCGGCGCGGCACGGCTTGGCGTGTCTAGACCGCGACGTAGCCACCGTTTGGCCCAGTTACGCCCTTCTTCCTCTCCTCCTCTCGTTCTTCAAACCCCACTCCGTCTCCTCACTGAGTTCTCTCGCGCTCTCCGTCTTCTTATACCTTCACCATCACCACTACCATCGTTGCTACTCTCGTAGTTCACAGAGAGCCACGAGCCGCAGTGTGCTCCGGCTGTATACTGTCTAGAGAGTTTGTTATTTACGAGAAGCAAGCTCGGGGCCCGCGCGAATCAACGAAAGTTTCAGCTTCCAAGTCTTCCTCTCTTTAGTCCTTCCGCCCGCTGCTCGCCGCGCTTACGTCACGGCCTAATCTATAGAATCTTTCCTTGCACATTACGACGCCCGCCCGTATCGCGTTGTAATATTATGCTTATGAACTCAAGTTTCGATCTTCCACGTTATGCAAGCGATTGCGTCCAACGGTTAATTTCAACCAGAACTAGTCGTTTTTTTCTTTTTTTATGAAAAAAAAACCCAGATGTTACAGATTATGTTACAGATGTTTCTCGTGAAAGCACAAAGATTTACCAAACGACAAGCTTCGAAGTGATAACTTTTCGTAACTATGTTAAAAACTTGGATGAAATTATTGTCAAGGTCACGGCATTTGTTATCGTGGTTCATATACGTATCTATCTGACACCGTGAAACGGCCGCTTTAGGGTCGCTTAAAGCAGATGGCATCGACCGAAAAGAAGCTTCACGGCATTCCACATGAAATTTTTTGATTCAAGATAACAATAGCTAAAATTGCAGCAGTTTTTTTCATTTGCATCATTGATTTTACGATAAACTTTTTTCACGCGGTATTTCGCGCAAAATTGTACGCGAATTTTGCCAGCATAATATAATGAATTTGATTTGAATAAACAAATGACGGTGGAAAAACGGAAGCGCTGTTTTCTCATTATTCGGTCGGTGAGAAATAGAGAAATAGGCAACGATAGATACGCTTTAAAATTAATGAGCCATAGCAGCATGATAGATAATTGAAAATCCCATCGTGTTTAACTGTCAGGTGTGAAAATAAATACGCGTACAATTGGTTATCTATCTTATGGTAAATACAGAGATGTCGCGATGCATTTTTAACACTTGGGATCGTCTAAGATGCATTTAGACTGTTGATTCTAGGTTCTAGCTAGTTAGGCTCTAGCAAGTCGGACTCCGTACAAGCATGCTGGCATGCGAGATACAAGCTGCCGATTAAAGTGCCTATTCGTTCACGGTGTGCAGCACAGCTCACCGCGTCAGCTTTTGCGCGCACGCACAACCACTATCGTGTTCGAGGAACTTGAAATTTCATACGACGATTTGTCGATCGGTCAGTTTTACGATCGCGGAAACGAGATGTTTCGCAATTCTCAGTTCAGCGCTTTACAAATCGGCGGTGCAACGGCAGTCGCGCGGGAATTTAATGCGCCGATTCGAGAGAGCGCCCAGTCATGCGGTCATTCGAAACGATTGTAAATAATCGTATCGATGTTAACGGACGTCGATCGCGTAAGGTTTATAAGCGCTATTTCTTTGCATTGGTCCGTCCGTCATAAATCTCGCACGCGAACTCCAATCGGCCCCGGGATGTCGTCGGACGACACTGACGAAATAACACGGGATATCGCGGCAGATCGGGCGGCAGCAGGTGGTAAAAAGATCGGTGCTTGCTGAAGCAAGCGCTGGGCAGGTATTCGCGACGTGCCGCAGGGGAGACGAGTTCTTGCCCGGGCAAGACGGGGCACGCGGTTAGTCATCAAGGCTCAGAGATTGTCCCCGCGCGCACCGGCGCGACTCGACCGGTTGACCAAAACCACAAGCTTCTCCCCTTTATCCTCATCCTTATCCTCCTCCTCTTCTCTTCCTCTCACCTCCGCCCCCTCCCCGCGCGAAGCGTTGCCCAATTTCGAAAAATCCGCCGAAAAAAAAATCGCACTGCGATTGTCATCTGCGACATTATTTCTCGAGAAAAACAATCCGCCACGACGGTGCTCTCGGAACTCGAGGCTGGCGGTGAATAAAGCGAGATCGCGTAACTCGATTGCTAATTCTGTAGTCCGCGAGAGTCCATTCTCGCTGTGCTTTCTGGCTCAAGATCACAAACGTCGATAGAATCTTTCCTCGGACGAACGTCCGACAGCAATAATAACAACGTGCAACTCGCAAGACTGACGCGATCAGGGAAACGTTACGAATTTTTTCTACGGTTTGTCAATAAAATCTGACGCTACGAACCGACGATTGTGAGAGAGAGTCTTCGCTCGCCCGCGGAACTGCGCGATCCGTTTGAACCAAGTATCCGTGTTGTGCGTGACAATGTGAGCAATAATATATCTCACGGCTTTTTGAATACTCACTTTCCTCACATGGAATATGAAGGTAACCGCACGCGCGCGCATAACTCAAGCGTTTTATCGCGGTCTCATCATCTCCCGAGACTGCGCCTTCAGTCATGCTCGTCGAACTGTTTTTACTACGTTACCCACGCTACAAGGGATACGGATCGGAGGTGCTAATCCGATGCACGCTCAACTATTAGAACCAGTTTTGTGTGTATTGAAAACTGGAGTATGTTTTCGAAAAATTAAGCCGCGCTCTTCCTTACGTCGATATCTTTCTCACCGATCTTCGCGTCACCGATTTCTTCAACGGCGCGCTACATAATATCTGGAAGCATAAATTACTTTTAATACGCGTAATCGAACATGGAAATATTTGGACGCGCGTACGGCAGGATTGAATCGAAAATACAGCGGAATGTCCGCTTTCGAAGAAGGATGCGTTTCCCTTTTCATCGGAATTTTCTTTTTCGTTATTTTTGCCGTGAAAAGCTGTGCGAACGCCGCAAAAGCCGCCTCGAAATCGCAATGTTTTTGAACGATTTCTCTATCTATCTCGCGGGCCCTTCCTTCCTTCTTCACGTCCTTCACGGGACCCACAGGGTCTCCCGTCCTTCTTTCACCCGGTGGCATCGTCCGCGCGTCTAGAGGCTGAAGCGCCTCTCGCTGATGCGCGGAGCACTGACCCGCAAACTGGTTCCTCCATTACACCAGGCTTTCTTCCCCCTCTCCCTTTTCTCTCGCTCCATCTTTTCTTCTTTCTCTCTGTCTCCCGCTTCGTATAAGCCCTCTCTTCCCCTCTTTATTTCTTCTTTCTCTTCCCCTTCGTACGCGGCGCGCGAACGCGCACATCTCTTCCTCTCTCTTTACGTTTCAGCGTGTCCCTTTTACTTAGCTTCTCCGCATCCATATCAGATTCGGCAACCCTCCCCCCTGCGGAACGATCGGTCCCCAAGAGTCAAAGATTCGGCGAGAGAGCGCCAAAGTTTTGTATCCCGTACTTTGTAAACTCCCGATCAATTTGTTAAACCTCGTCATTCGTCGATCGGTTCTTCTCAAATTGCTCGTAAGATTGCTTCACGCAACTCGGATTATTGCATTCGAAAGGAAATTGCACGCTAATTCAATCGATGGAAATTGCGAAGATACGGCTTGTGTGTCAAGCTATAATAACATCCGCCAATCTGTCAACGCGCGCGCTCGCAAACTTTCGGGGCGCACTGCTTAGACAATTCTCATTTCCACCTGTAATCTATAAAACGTAAAACCGCCGGCTCAGCTTAGACATTAATGAAGTTTTAAAACTTCGCTAAGCTCGCGTTTCGCTGCCTGCGCTTGCGGCGATCGCCGCCGTGCAAACGTTGAATTAACGCTGAATTAATTCGCACTTTATCGCCTGTCCGAAGGCGGCCGACAATCGTTTTATGCATTTCTACGAATAATCAGCAACGTCGACACAGGACTAATTTAATTGGCATTGTGGAGATAATTGACGATCGTCGTGGAGATTGCGCTGCAGCTCCGATATTGTTGTGGGCATGCAACGAGTCCCGTACAATTTAATTCAAACGTAAAAGACAAAAAAAAATATTGGTGTTTTCACGATATGTAGATAACGGCGCATTATATGCGACATTTTGATTTGTTAAAAAGAAATGGAGAAAAGTGTTACTTTAGAAAATCAATTATCGTCAATATGTTAGCGAGTTACTTATTTTTTATGGTGCAATAGAAATGCAAAACTGCAGAGCATCAGAATGAAATATTCAAACAGTCGCGTCTCGTTTTGTTCGATTTACGAACACCGCGCCGCAAAAGCGACGAATACGTAGCAGCTAAATTGTGATGCTCGCAACGGCAAATTGTAATGTTGGAAATTATAACCTTGTGAAATCACAAATTACAAATTGTATACTGAGATATTACAATGTTGCAAATTGCTGGATGATAAAAGCAGCTTTCAGATTGCGAGGAACAAAGTCGTATCCAACAATACATGCATTTCATCTCTATCGGGAGGAACTCTTATAATGTGACATAGCGAGATAGAAGAACATACAAGAACATATATAAGAAGAACATATAAGAACATATATAAGAACGTATAAAAACACGCGCACACACACGCAAATTAAATCAACTGTCGCTATTTGATAATAGGATTCTCCGAACAGAAATCTCACAGTAATTAAGATGACAGATTAAAGCGCATTTTTCTACATTATTGCGGCGTCATCGGTACGATGATATTCTCTTTTATACATATATTGCTGACACAAACAGAAAGGAACGGACTCGCATTCGCACGCGAAAAAATGCGCAACGGGCGAATATTTCCAAAACTTAATTTCTTAAAAAAATATTAGCAATAAAAACATTCCACCGCAAATAATAAAATGTGCTAATTATACGAGAAGTAATAAAGCGAAACGAACGGAATCGAGATTTTCTCTCGCCAGCGAAGGTGTCGAGAAAAAGAAGAAAAAAAGATTGCCGAAGGAAACACTTACCCGTCGCCGGATGAATTTGGAGCAGTAGTCCGATCAGTGATACCAGGAGGAAGGTTTTATACGGGGATGCCGTGATATCCTGTCGCAAGGCCGTCATCTCAGGCGGCCCGCGCCAGGTGCTCCCCCGACGTGCCGCTATCCCTGCGGTGAATCTCACCTCAGCTTTCTCAACTTCCGCCTTCGTTCCCGCCAGGTCTGCGACGTGCCGTCCTCGTGTTTCACATTTCATCTGCTTGAGCCGATTCTTGTCCTTCGGATTTCTTCGTTTTCACAAACGCAAACTGCCGGCGGATTATCGTGGACTGTGCGCCAATATCGGATCACTGTCTATCCTTATCGCCCACGGGACTCATGTCACAGATATTGTTTTTCCGTATCGCGCGCACGCCTTCGTAAAAAAAACGGATCTATTTACTTGAACGCCTGCAAATTGTCTTTTCGCTGAGCTCGAGATGCGTTTCTGCGTTTCGATAAAAATTGGATCCTGTCTCACGCTGTCAACGTGATTTCAAATGCGCGTGCTCGTCTGCCATAGAATACAAAAATTACCATCGTTAATGCGGAATTTTTCCTTTAAAACGGACGCGTCTACTCGCGAGAATTTTAAATAAGTCACGATATGTATCTCATCATATTGCGACTTATATTGCTGAGCAAGTGCCATCGTTTCTGTATGTTTATACACATATTTTCCAAGTGCAATATTGTTTCTAGTGGATGTGTTTCGATGAGTTATCTTGAGCAAGAAATTTTGCACTCCTATTTCTTTTCTAGCAATATCTTTTTTCACAAAATTATCTAACGAAAATGAGTGTTTACTAATCACATAATTATTTTACAATACTTTGAACAATTTGTCTGCGTCGATGAGTATATAAGCGTAATATTTCTCTTTTTATCTTAAAATATCGCGAAAAACTTAACGACTTCTACTTGTAATGATTTCGCAAATTCCTTTTATCATGTCGAGTGTGTCAAGGATTTTTTAATTACAAACAAACCGACGATAACGAGCCTCTCCTTCGGACGGTGAAATATCCTCTTTTCTCATGAGATGTCTCGAATCTCGTCAAACGATAGAAAAATATTTCGCGCGCGATCCTCAGATTGTAATCACTGCGTATCACGACGTCCACGAGGACACGCGAAAATGGATCGATTCGAACACCTGTGGATGGTTGAAAGCTTTGTGTCGAACGGTAAGAGCGATATCGTTTGTGTATTGTGCTCGCCCCTTTTTCGCCCTTGCTTCCTCGCGAGTGCTTCCTTCCTTGTTCATCGATCAAAGCACGACACTTGAAGTAACCAGCCGCGAATCATCGCGACACGTGGTATACGGGCGCCTTACGAAACGAAACGCACGTTGCACAAGTCGCGATTCAAGGATCCTCGTGTGCTCGCGACAGCAACACGGCTCTAAACCCTCCGCGCCTCGCGACTGCTTTTTTCGCGCGGCCGATCTCGCGGATCCCTCGGGAGTCTACGCGGACGGATCTCGCGCGATTTACCTCGGCGTCTTCAGCGTCGGTAGATATCGTATTTCTTTCTTTAGCTATTCACGACTTTCGTTGCGGCGGCGCTCGATAGATTCACGACGTGATCGTCGATCCTCCATGAACTCCGCGGATTCGTTTCGCAACGCGGCGCGCAGATTCGTTAACGGAACCAAGCGCGCGCGAGGCCGCCCGGCAGACTGAGAGGAGCAGTCGACAGTTGGTAGTCGCCAGCCAGCAGCCAGCAGCAGCAGCAGCAGCACAAGGCGAAACGTTTCGCCGTATGCCGAGCGAAGCTCTGCAAAAGCAGCCTGCACACGCGGCCGCGCTGTGTTGTGCTGTCCCCACTTCCCTTCTTCGAGCGCGCGATCGCGGCGGTGACGACGGTGGTGGCGGCGGCGGCGGCAGCGACGGCGGCGGCGAAGGCAGCAACGATGGCGGCGGCGGCGGCGGCGGCGGTGGCGGCGGCGGTGGCGGCGGTGGCGGTCACGACGGCGGTGACTATCTGTCTGTATGCCTATATGCCTGCCTTCCTGCATGCATGCCTGAAAGTCTCTTCCTTCTACTGCAGCTCCTTCTCTTGCTCCTCTCTACCCTTCTCCTTTTCTTCCTCTTACTTCTTCTTTTCTTTCTCCTCCTTCTCCTCCTCCTCCTCCTCCTCCTCCTCCTCTTCTTCTTCTTCTTCTTCTTCTTATCCTTATCCTACTTCTGTCTTGTCCAGCATACCCTTTGCATTTCTTTGCTCTCGCATCCGTACGTTCCTTTGTTCTTCCGTCTTGCCTACGGGTTACAGGATCCACCTACGCTTCCCCTCTTTGACCGCCCTTCCTTCCTTTTGTTTTTTACGCGTCTCTCGCGCGGAAGTTTATAGCGGAGAATTTTCCGGTTTCGCCGGCTGTGTGCGCGGCGATGTTCGAGAAGGCTTGCCCGATCGAGCCGAGACTGCGGAGCTTTACGCGTCTTATGTGTCTTACGTGTTTACGTACAGGCAATATGCGGTGAAATATTGTTGAGTTTACGATGATCCAGCTTTCCATTCGATTGGCGCGGAGTATTCCTAAACGATCAGTCGGCTTTTCACAAGATAGCTAATGATCGAGTTTCATGAAGTCTCCTGTCTTTCTCTGTAATTCTCTGGTCGTTTATTTCGTGATTTATTTTGAATTAAAATCTTCTCTCGATTTTCAATCTTCCTTCATTACCATTAAATTTATCCATAGCTATAACTGTAATTGACAATTTTTTTTAAGGAAGAAAATTATGCATTCGGATTTTATCCATCAGTTTAAAAAAGAAGCACTTTTTCGGACTATTTACAGGTGGCACTTGCTCATTTATAACACATTTTCAGAAACGACGCACGATTGAGTTTAATTATGTCGGAAACTTAAATGCACAATAATAACATTAAAATTGATTTATATATTGCAAATTTAACATGTATGGGTGACGACTGTCAAATAATCTTCTAATCGGAGTATTAAATAACTTGTTGGGTTGACGATTATCGAGAATAATGAAACGGTCTCAAAATACTCGATTAAAAAAACTTGGAAATCTCGAAACCAAAGCTTCTCTCAATTTTCGCAAAAATCGCGGAGCGATTCTTGCAGAACTGAACCGTGAAAAATAAACTTAATCGTGGATCTCTCGAGGAGAGAAAGAGAGAGAGAGAGAGAGATACGATTCAGGTCTTACATGCTGCACTGCCCGAAGACATCGAGGGGGTTGACGTTAAAGCAGCGACTTCCGGTTGTTTCGTGAAACGCGAATGAGCTGAATGAAATTGACGGGTGTTGAAATTGTTTGGTCAGTCGTCAGTGTCGTCGCGGCGGATCATCTCGAGTGACGCGTGTGAAATGACGGAAGGAAAAATTCGGCACGGCAAGGTAATGCAATACACACCGTTCCAGCGGCAAGGTGCAATGGTGATTGGTGGATGCACCGCTGGTCCACGTCTCTTTTATACCTCGAGCGGCTCGGCGCGACTCGGTTCGGCGCGACCCCCGACAAAGCGGTACCGCCCCCTGGGCACGTGACGATGCTGGATCTGCCACCAGGGATACTATGCGCTCCTTGCAGCGCACCCCGTCGCAACTACCGCTAGACTACCCCACTACGGAAACCCGCACCCTTCCCGTCCTTCCTCACACAGCCGATGCGCTAATTGATATCGTTACGCGACTACGTCCAACTATACGTGTACTTTCGTAGACAACCACGTAGACTTTCCGCCTATTGCGCACACAATGCGAATGATAGTGCGCTTGGCACGACACAGAGAACAATTGTCCTGCAACCATAGCGCTGCCTCTCCAGTCACTAGTTTTTTTATTACTTTACACAGGAGTTCTAATGTTCCGTCTGTTACTTTGAAGCCCGATTCCAAGCTATTGATTTTCGCTTGTTAATAACTCGTAAATTATTAATAGCCTGGCATAGATTTGTTAACCCGGGAAATTGAGCGCGACCCCCCCCCCCTCTTCCGACTCACGTGAGATTGTTATGAACCTCAGAAATCACGGCGGTAAACTTTTTAATTTTATTCTGTTTACTTAATGTACTTTTCTTTCCTCGAAAAAATTGATAGAAAAATCCACATTTATAATATTCTTTAACAATAGAAATCCACAATATGCAATATATTGTTAATAGATTTTTCATAGGTTCCGAAACATCTTATACAATTTTTTACGCAAAAAGAGCCATGTGATTATTCTCAAGATAAATCGACAGCAAAAATAGGATGCGTTGACTGTGAAGAATTCGTCGTTAAAATTTGCAATGATATATATAGCCTATAATAAATAGCAATTAACTCCATTCTATATACTCGGGTACGCGTAGCATTTTTTAATAAATAACAAATAGTTGAGATTGCGAGGACGGCGTTTCGAATTGCATACGACGTCTTGCAGCTCGTCGGTCGGTCTGCTAAGCTTCGAGACGAGTGAATCTAGTCTGTATATGGCCCGGCCCAAGCCGTCTGACTACCGTGCGCAGTCAATGGACGTGATTCACTGTTCCTTGACGAAGTCTGAGATGGACAGACGATCGGACAGACAGGATCGTCAGCGAGCACGCGGCGGAAGGAAAAGCGTAATGTGAGAGACGGCGCGATTGATAATAAGAGAAAGAGAGAGAGAGAGAGAGA